GTGTTTTTTTGCTAATTTCTTCTGTTTTAGTTTGTTGTCTATGTTTTTTGTTGATGATTGACAGGTTTATTTATAAGTAAAAATCTCAGTTTAAACGGTGCTTCAACTTAGATTAAACTCTTGATAGAGTCTATCAAATAGTTAGATTATGACTGAATTTAATTATTATCTTTAAAAAAAAAAAACCTTTTTATCCAATCGATTGAATTTTCCCAAGTTTTTGCCATTTTTTTTTATTTGTTAACAGATAATAATAAGATAAACTAACCCTGAACTAATAGTAGAGATAATTACAAAATAAAATAAATATAATAAAAATAAAATATCAACAATTAAATAATAATAATAATAATAATAATAATTGGGTCGGACTTGACTAGGGTTTGATCAAATTAGGCCCAATCAGTTCAGGTTTAATTATCTCAAACCCACTTATTTCAAGTCTGGACAAAATATGGTGTCTACAATAAGAAGTAAATTTTCGTCAATTCCATTATCTTTATTAAAAATTAACAAAATTGAAAATACAATAACAAAATTTCATGAAATTGGAGTATGGTGATAAAATTCAACATTAACTTATACTACTATAGTAGTAAAGTTGGCGTTAATCCCTATATCAACTTTGGTTTTGACTTTTGAATAGTATAAATATATTTGCTTTTTATGAGTTTACATATTATAAGTAAAAATTATAATAATAATAATAATAAAATATCTTTCAATTTATGTTAAAAATTACATTAATGAAAGAAATTAATGAACAAAAACAATCAAACAAATGAACTAACATAAAATTGTACTAAACTCATATAGAACCTGAATCTGAATCTAACTCTAAAGGTTTTTTTTTTTTTTTTTACATATGTATAGAAAATATAATTACAAACTAAATATATGATCATTAATTCCTAGGGCTGTAAACGAACCAAACATAAATGAACAAATGTATGTCTTTGATTTGTTTGTTTATTTTAGAGGTATTCAAGCTCGATTTGTTTTCAGTAAAAAAATTGCTCTATTCGTTTGAGTTTGGTTTGTTTAAATGATAATATATTTGCGCTCAGTTCGTATTCGATTCAATTAAGTTAAACGAGCTTATTCATGAATATTAAGCAAATATATTTACGAATATATATATATAAACAAATATGTTCATGAATAATAAACAAACTATGATTAAATAAATTTAAAAAAATAAATCCTAAACGAATATAAACGAATCTTAAAATAAGATTAGATTAAAGAATGAAAACATAATTTTGTTAGTATTATTACAAACAAACAATAAACGAATGAGTTTTAAACAAATTTTAAACGAATTTGTTCACGAATATAAACAAACCGAACATATTTATATTTTTTTCAATTCGTTTAATAAATGAATATAAAAATACTATTTAAAATCGTTTGTTAAACTTAATAAACGAATAAAAATTGAACATGTTAATAAATTTATCAAAAACTCTGATCGTTTACATCTTTATTAATTTCTTATAGTAAGATGTCAATTAGTACATTTACCATGAACTAATGTAAAAGTAATTGGGTAGAAGGGAAAAAAAACAAAACCTTTTTTTGTCCAAATTAAAAAAAAAAAAAACAAAAAGTTATTTGTATTAATGATGTATATTGAGCTATCACTTTGAATAAGATCGATATCAATCACGCTTGCTGTAAGGATCAAATCGACTTCACCATTTGCTATCAATCTCTAGCAAGCCAATCTTGAATTGTAGATAACATCGTATAATATCAAGATGTGGGGAATCATACATACTAATTCAAGTATTATTTCCTTTTTAATCCCAAAGAACAATCAAAATCTATCTTATCAAAATCAAAAGCTTTAAAGCTTAGAAACATTTAAAATTGCCTCCACTCCTAGTGAATTTCTGACTCAATCAAAAGTTGTCCATAAAAAAATTGTTCAATGAAAACACTCAAGTCTCACTTTTGAAACAATTTTAGAATAAAGCAATTTCAAACTTGACTCATACACTTTTTTTTTTTTTTGGGTTTACCATGAATGAAACAGCTAAATTGGAATACTGAACTCATGTAATAAAGGTAAGACGGGATCTAATCACTAAAAATCGATCTTAATCTTGAAAATAGGAGAAGAAGAATTACGATTGTTGGGTATCGAATCCTATCTTCTAGGAATTCATCTTCTAATGAAGGTGGATGAACTATTTGAAGTATCTCGAGTTCATATAATCATTGAATTGAAGTATTTTGATTCTACAAAAATGGGTTATAATTTGATTGAATTTAGGCGAATCAATTTGCCAAAAGGCTAGGGTTTCTAGAAACATATAAGCGTGCTAAAACATTCTCTTTCAATTAAGAAAAAAACAAAAGGGGATTAGTTTAACTAATGCTGCTTGAGAACCCCACAACATCCCTAATCCTCTATCCTAATCTTAGTAATCTACTTTGACAAGACATGAAGAAATAAAATTAGCAAAGAGATAGGAACCACATAAAACTCTTACACTTTTACCCCTTTCTAAATAAAAAATTAATTACCAATTAAATTACTAAAAGCTCACATGCTTAGCTGTTAAACAATGTTTGAGCAGTACAAGTATTTCAAAAGAAGAGGCTCTGAGGCTGGCTTTCAGCTTCACCTCCTTTTTTTTAGTGCGAAAATCCGTACATAACACGGATTATTAGTGACTAATTTGGATTAATTAAATAAAACAGAAATAGAGTGACAAGTGGGGGTACAAATTTTCTATCACACTAGGGTTGTTAGCCCTCCACGAAAATTGGTCACAAGGCAACATATATATTTGCAAGAGATGAAATGGGAAAATTTTCTCTTGGATTTATATGTCTTCTTCGAGTTGAATATGCTTTGAAACTATGTTCAAATATTTGATTCAATCAAATTGACGCATGATCTTTTTAATCAATGGGTAGAATTTGAATCTTTAATTCCTTTTTCAACTAAAAAAAAAATGTTACTGTCTTGTTTGGTATAAGACTATTAAGAGCCAATCCAAAGAATTTCATGATTTTAATTATATGTTCTATGTTTGGACTATAAGGTTTTATATCATGAAATCAATTGATTTTCAAAGGGAAAAAGGGAAATACTTTGTGTTTTCTTGTAGTTTATTTTAATGTTTTAGATTTCCCAATTTCCATTGTCTCCCATGTGCTAGAATCTCTCAAAGCATTTATGAATTATTCTATTATGCATTAGTTAAAGATTTTTTTTGCTCTTAATTTTCTTTTAATTCTTGTTCACATGGAATCATTTATTATTTGATATATAGCACATTTAAAACATGAATAAATTTTCTTCCACTACAACACACATGATATTCATTCTCATACCTTAAATTTTAATTATAAAAAAAAGTTAAAATACAAACAATAAATCAATTTTATTTTTTTATTAAAAAAATTACTCTTAAATTATCGTCAAGATATCATTGAAGTGACAAATGAATAAGTTCAAGTTCGATTATTTTAATTTCGACCAATTTCAAATTCTTATCTTTTAAGTTTAGAATTTTTTGAATGTTTTTAAATTTAATTTAATTAAGATTATTTATAAATATTACATAAAATGTAACTATTTGATTTTTTTATTTTATCAAATTAAAACATTTTGAATTTGAATTTTCTCATTTTTGAATCATCAAATTTCTTTATCAAACCGAGTTTCGTTAAGACTAAGTTCATGTTTTTCACATGGTCATCTTTACGAATTTGCCATATCTTTTCATGCCTTATGAAACAAAACAGATATTTATGAGATTATATGTAATTATTGAATACAGTTGCTGTGGCTATTGAAGATTGAAGGGCACATTGAATTCTATGCATCCACTGGCTGAAAACAAACTTGTCTTTGCAGACAGAAATCTAGAACATAACACCTGTCCATGGTGACGTTCAAAAAACATCAAACACTTTGAATATTTTAATGTTCCCAATACCCAACATGGAATCCAACAAATTATTTTTAATTAAGATTTAATGGAGATTGCTTGGATCAATCTCCTCAAGAAGTAAGCAAATCCAACACCTGGAAAATTTTCGTTGGTCATCCAGTAATTTTATGTTTAAAAAATTTTCCACCCACTTTGTAGTAATTTTTTATTTATTTTTGTCATATTATTATGCTTTTTTTGAAGCTGTTAATTCCTAGTGTCAATGTGCATAAGCCCTAGCTTATACGTGGCATAAAGCTATGGCATTCCTGTTTCCTTTTGTCTCTCTCTTGCATCAGCAAATATATGCTAATTGGATAATGGTCCTTATTAGAACATGTCACCCAATGCCTTAACATTCCCAATCGTTGCAATTCAATGATATTGACTTTAATATCCTTGGAAATTTTCTTATTAATCCATTTGTATTTTTCAATTTCTTATTTTCAATTAATTTCAAGTAACTTAATAGTGATTTTTTTTTTATACATGGGAGACTATAGCCAAACAATAAAAAAAATTGCAAAGTTTAGAATTCGAACACCAAATTTATTAAATTCAATACTAAATTTTATTATTATAGTTTAATTTTATTTAATTTGATTGCTTTTTGGATAAAATGAAATTGATATTTTATGAAATATTTGGTTAATGTAAATGAATTTGTTCTTAATTTTGTTATTTTTATCTAAAAATTAATAAAATTGAAAATATAATACTTTCAAAATTCAATAAAATTGAAATATAATGACAAATTTTAATATTACCTTTTTCATTATCATAAATTTCATTTTTCCATTCTTAAAATCCAATATCTCAATGAAAACATTAAGAACACTTTCTTGATGTAGAAAAATGTGACAACCATTTTGAGGTTACATGGGTCATTTGACAAATGATGATGATATCTTAGAGATCTGTACCATAACAAAGAGAAAAGATTGGGATGATTTTGAAAATGACTGATGGGGTGAAGCAAGAGGCCCTCTTTAGTGCATATATAAATATGTGACACACTAACCCCAGATTGCATAGAATTTGCTAGCTAGACAAAAAACCTTCACCTTTAAGCATTCAAATCAAAGGGTATAGCTTTTCTTGGTTTCTTTTTATTCCTTTTTACATGTCTTGGACAGTGATGGCAGGACATTTGGGTTGGGGTATTATGGAAGAAGGCTGGAGGAAAGGTCCCTGGACAGCTGAAGAAGATAGGCTGCTTATTGAATATGTCAGAATACATGGTGAAGGCAGATGGAACTCTGTTGCTAGGCTTGCTGGTAAGCAAACATTTGGTTTTGGAGATTGGAAGGAAATCTTTGCAAAATTTGGCTTACATAATAGATGGGAAAATTTAGAAAAAATCGAAACTATATTTAATTTAGTTAGTTTATACAATTACTCTTAAAATGTGATATCCAATATATGTGGATTCAAATATTAACATATACAATTTCTTATTCCTAGGCTGCGGCCCTTTTTTTAGAAAAAATAACAAAAATCTATTTTTGGTGATTCAGTGATTGCTAATAATTGCATTGATCTAGGCATGTTGATCTTTGGAATAAACATATAATCTCTTTTGGTACAGGGTTAAAAAGGAATGGAAAGAGTTGCAGGCTGAGGTGGGTGAATTATTTGAGGCCTGACCTTAAAAGGGGCCAAATAACCCCTCATGAAGAGAGTATAATTCTTGAACTACATGCAAGGTGGGGAAACAGGTAATGATCTGAATTCTGAACATAAAATTTTGGGTTTTTTTTTCTTTTATCCAGATACTTAGGAACTTGAAACAACAAATTTTCAGGTGGTCAACAATTGCAAGAAGCTTGCCTGGAAGAACTGATAATGAGATCAAGAACTACTGGAGGACCCATTTCAAGAAAAAGACTAAAATATCACCAGATAACTCTGATAAGGCAAAAGCTCGTTTGCTGAAAAGGCAACAATTTCAGCAGCAGCAGCTACTGCAACAACAACATGAACAGCTGCAACAGCAGCAGCAACAACAACAGCAGCAGCAGCAGCAGCAGCAGCAGCAGCAGTTACAATTGAATCAATTTGACATGAAAAGGATCATGTCTTTGCTTGACGAAACTGAACATAGAGCTCCATATGTGCCACAGCTGAGGCAAGAAATGGCAGCTACTTCATACCCCAACACAACAGATCAGGAACACGGCTTCTTCTATCCCATGATCAATGGCTACGTTTCTGGTACTGGTAGTGATAGCTCGAACGAGGAAATTCTTTGGGATGGTTTGTGGAACTTGGATGATATCCATGGAAATTTTGGTGCGGCATGTGTAACAAGCAAAGCTAGTTTGCACAATCTAGTGACCCCTTTCTGTTAATTTCTTTGCTGAGTCGTAGTTTTAGTCACTAAATGAGAATGCTCTCAATTAATTCCTACTATCAAGTCCTAGTCATTTTAGTCATCATCAAATAAGAAGACTCTTAAATCTGGAGCCTTAGCTTGATGATTAAGGTGTGAAAGTTTTAAGTTGTGACCAATGCAAATTATGCCTAATTATGATGTAACCTATCAATAAAATGATCCAATTTTGCATGAAAACAAATAGCGTGTTTGCTTTATTGGATGAAAATTTAAGGACAGCAGTTTCAACACCACATAATCAATTTCAGTTATTTAGTTCTGTTTGGTCGATACTTTTGTTTTTAATTTTTTATTTTTAACTTTATGTGTTTAATTATTTTTTGCAAAAAATAAAAAAAATCGTGATACGGCTTAGATCATGTTTAACTTTATGTGATTAAAGAATTTTATTAATAATTTTAAATATAATATAATGACACGATATGAAAATAATACAATAAAATATATAAAAATAACACGATTTAAAATTTAAACAAAAATCATATATAAATCTAAAAATAATTAAAAATCGTATTTAATATTTTTATATTAATATGAATTATGATGCAATAATTTCCGTGTTTATACATATGTATGCAAAATAAATTTAACATAAATACATAAATTATCTAATTTAACTTTACTATATTAATTTGTGTTGCACTTTCAAATTCTCTTTGTAGAAACATTCTTTAAAAAAAAAGGCTCAACATATTATACTTATGAAGATCCTTTATGAGTATAATATCACAGCTAATCCTCTTGTGCTGGCAGATCTTTCTGCCATGCACTATCAAATAAAAACTATTTTCATCAGTTCTTTGATTAAAGAAATAGTTATAAAATATATTAGAATATAATCTAAGATTAGTTTATTTTATCATTTTAATTTCAATTTATAAGCTAAGGTTAAAACTAGAACAGGTTAAGACTGGAACTATACAATAACATAGGTTAAGAGTAGAACTAGATTCTCTTGAGTATTGGGCTTTGCTTCATGTATTATTATTCAATTTTATTTTGCCAATCCTCTCTCATCCTTTTAAAATTCCCAACTTCATTAACTTGCTAATGCAAAGATAATTTCACTTAATTTGACATTTTTCAATTGTTAATTCTTATTTGTAAATTTTCGTATCATATCTTTGATATTTCGATCTATAATTAAATCTGATAAAATTAAAATTCATTCATATTTAATAAGCGAAGTCTAAAAAATAATTTCGTAATAAAATATGTATAATTTTTTTTTATCTTCAAATTATGATTTTTTTGCAAATAATCTAAAACTTAAAAAGATTTTGTGTAGTAGAGTACGATTTTTAATTAATGGGTTTTTTCTTCATTTAATTGTTTTTTTACAAAAAAAAAAAAAAAAGTTAAAGGGCATAAAAAAACCGCTGAATTATAATTAAAAAAAATTATCTTAACCTTTATTTTTTTATTATAATCAATCAATCCTTCTAATATTTATTTATATTCAATTAAACCCTTATTTAGATAAAAAGTTAAGATCATTCATTTTTTTACCAACTAAGATAAAATTCATATGATATCAATAAAATAAATAAAGTTTACCATGTAGGATAGTTAATATATGTGAAAATTAAATAAAATAAACTTTTCTTTTTTACTTTTCTTTTTTTTTCTTCTCTATTTTTCTCTCTATCTCTCTCTAAGATCCTTTTTAAGGATTTAATTGATTATAATTCAAAAATTAATTGATCTAATATTGATGTGTGATTAAATTTCATTTAATTAAAAGTTTAATTGAATCAAAATTAAAAATTAAAAATTATAATAAAATGTTAAAAGCTTAAATAATTTTTTAATTATAATTTTGGGATTTTTTTTTTTTATTCCTTAGCCTAAAAAATATCATGCGTCAGACTTAGAATCTCAACTTAAAACTCATATCACCATAGCCACAACACATCACTTCTAAAACTCTTTAGCACACTTATGTCTTGTCTTCGCTGTCGACATTCCACAATTCTCCAACAATGAATTTCCTTTAATTATTCTCTCCTTGGATTGTTTTCTTTTCCCTTATCTGCCTTTAATCAAAGCATAAAATTAATGCCCAAAGCCAAAAAAATTAAAGCATCAGGTTATACCAAGTACTGTGAAATAAGTACAATTCCGTTGTCGGAAACAAAAGTTGGGAAGTGACTTAGAATCAAAGTGCTGTCTTATTTTATTATTAGTAAATCCTATGTTAAAGATTAGAACTGGATTCTCTCTTGATTGCATTAATCTCCTATGCTATCTTTTTCTGATTTCCTTCTGTCATATATTTGTCATTTTCCTAGGATTCATGCTACTTGTTTATATACTAGCTAGTTAATAAATTAAACATGTAAATCTTAATCCACCTAATTCAAGATAAATACGATTAATTTAAGATTTCTTAATTGACTTAGACTCTATTTCGATGGACGATGAGTTTGACTGTGGTAAAATTAAAAATAATAATAAAAATTATTGTAATTATGATTGAAAAAAATTTATTATAATTACAATTAAAAAAATTAATAAAAAATTTATATTGAATGGGTTTCATCATTTCATTAGAGTTAATATTTATATTCAACTGATGATATAGTAAATTCAATCGTACCACACCTTCGAATCTAAACGGTCACTTAAAAATTTATTGGAATAGATTTAAATATTAATTCATGTAATTTTTTCCTTATCTTCATATTACAACTTTTTTTATAAAAAAAAATAAAAATTAACTTTTTTTATGATATCTGATTCTAATTTTTAATGTAATATAAATATGTAAAATTGGATTTCGTATTTCATTATAAATCTTAAAAGGCAAGACTCACTTAGCAATAAGCGAATAATAAATCTTGCAATTTGTTTTTGTTAATGATGATAAATATATGGGATCATTGTTATATTTTTATTTCGACAATTTATAATTATAAAAAATATAAAATAGGAATAGGGATCAAATCACCAATATGGTGTATAATCAATAATCAAAGAGTGTTACAATTAAATTCAATGCTTTATAAAAAAAAATAATAATAATTTATTCCAAATATTGGACAAAAATGTAATTAAGCACCTTTTTGATTTAAGCAAAATTAAAAGAAAAAACTCCATTATTAAATATTAATCAGTAAAAAACAAAAGATGAAAGCATATGGATGTGGAAAACTTTTGAAATCAGTACAATCCATGCTTGCTTTAGTAGTTAGCAATGTCCCCCTTAGTTTTTTTTTTTTTTTTTACTTTATAAAAGTTGAAGTGAAGTACAAACAAAGTGGCATAATATTTTATCATTTTATTTCAATCAACAATCCCATGTTAAGATTTGAAGCTAGATTCACTTTTGCTTGCATTTCTAACATCAAACATTAAAACTTTGCCAATCTATGATCATCATCATTTGGGTAGTGTATTTTTATATATAAGAGTTTATTTTTTATATATTAATATAAGAATATTTTTAATTTAATAAATAAGATAAAAAAATTATCACATGATTTATTTTAAATTATTTTTTATTTTTAATATATCTTATTATATATTTTTTCTTACTAATTTTGATAATAAAGATTAAAATTTTCTATAGGTGAATATGATAAATTTATCTTATCATAATATATGGTTAGCAAATTTTAAAAATAGTTGGTAATAATGTATTGGTTCGACTTTTTTCAGTAAAAAAAATTTTTTTTTATTTCGATTTCATTTTAATTTCAAGTGATTATTTATTAAAACTCTAAAACAAATCAAATTTATCAAAACATTTTATGCCAATTCAATAGCATACAAAATTTGATTAAATTTATTAATTAATCAATTTGAATTCGAGTGAATAATATAATTATTTATTTGAATATTTCGTACATGACATGCATTATTACCTTAATTATATTTGATTAAATTTAAATTATTATTCAATATTAATAATTTACATAAATCACAAATATAACATGAATGTATACCATGTAGACGATATTATAAATTATATTATATGAGTATTTTTTAAAATTTTATTTTTTTACTTAAAAATATCAAACTGAACTTTAGCACTAAAATTAAAATTGTCTTATTTTAATCTTAATTTTTTTGGGTTTTAAATTTATAATTTATAACCCACCTCCTCCGACTCTGTGCTATCATTGTCACCATCACCGCCAAAATTCAAATGCGACTCACCTTCTTCTTCCCCCTTACCCGTAACCTATTTATCCTCAAAACCAGGTTTTATTACACGTCTGCCACTGTGCTGGACTCGCCTTTCAGTCTCCTCCATTTCCTCCATCTCTCAGCTACCCATGAATCTCACCAACTCAACAAGCAAGCCCACGCTCGAGTTTTCTTATTTGGGCTCACTCAAAACCCGTTTTTAGCCTCAAAGCTCGTCTCTTTATACGCCTCTTTTGGACACATAACTGAGTCGAGAGCTGTTTTTGACTCAGTTGAAGACAAGAGTATTTATCTTTGGAACCTAATGATCAATGGGTATCTTAGAAGTTACTCATATATTGAAGCTTTTGATTTGTTTTGCAAAATGGGTCATTTTAATGCAAAACCTGATGATTATACATTGGCAACGGTTTCGAAAGTTGCTGGCGAAATCAGGGACTTGAAAGTGGGGAAATTGGTTCATTGCCAAAGTATAAAAACTGGATTTGTTTTGGATATCGTAGTATCCAATTCTTTAATATCAATGTACGGAAAATGTGGAGAATTTGAGGCGATGAAGAAAGTGTTTGAAGAAATGTGTGAACGAAATGTTGGGTCTTGGAATGCGTTGATTTTAGGGTATGCGAATTCAGGGGATTGGATATTGCAGAAGGATTTGTGGGAAATTGTTAGAAATATGCAAATTGATGGAATGAAACTTGATGAATTCACAATTTCGAGTCTTTTATCTTTGAGTGGTGCTGAGGGTCCTTGTGTATGTAATTATGGGAGGGAACTTCATTGTTATATTTTGAAGAATGAACTGGATTCGAGTTTTGGTTCACATGTTCATTTGGGTTGTTGTTTAATCCATATGTATTCGAAGAGCAGTAAAGTCTTGATGGGTAGAAATGTTTTTGATAGAATGAGGTTTAGAAACGTTTATGCTTGGACAGCAATGATCAATGGCTACGTGGAAAATGGAGATTTTGATGAAGCGCTGGTTCTTTTTCGGGAAATGCAGTTGAGTGATGGAATAGAACCCAATAAAGTCTCTATTGTGAGTGTTCTTCCTGCTTGTAGCTCCTCTGCTAGTTTGATGGCAGGGAAACAGATTCATGGTTATGCAATTAGAAAAGAACTGAGCCATGTTGTGGCTTTGTGTAATGCGTTGATTGATATGTATTCTAAATGTGGGAGCTTGAATAGTGCAAGACAAGTTTTTGAGAATGGTTCATTCTGTAAAGATGCTATATCTTGGACTTCAATGATTAATGGATATGGATTACATGGAAAGGGTGAAGAAGCCATAAGTCTGTATAACCGGATGCTTTTGCTTGGGAATAAACCAGACACGATAACATTGGTAGGGGTGCTTTCTGCTTGTGGAAGGTTGGGATTGGTAAATAAAGGTCTTAGTCTTTATAACACAATAACAAATGAATATGGGATGAAGCCAACAGTTGAGATCTGTGCTTGTGTTGTTGACATGCTAGGTCGATCAGGACAGCTTGATCAAGCATTAGATTTTATCAAAACAATGCCTGTTGAACCAGGGCCAAGTGTTTGGGGGGCTCTTGTTAGTGCTTCTATAATGCATGGGAATATTGAGATGCAAGACCTTGCCCATAGGTTTCTCATTCAGTTAGAACCTGAAAATCCTTCAAATTATGTCTCACTCTCGAATTTTCATGCTTCTTCCAAAAGATGGGATGCTGTCGCAGGATTAAGAAAAATGATGAAGGAAAGGGGTTTGAGAAAGGCACCTGGGTGCAGCTGGATTAACATTAATGGCAAGACTCATTGCTATTATGTAGCTGATAAGTCACATCCTCATTCCGTTTCGATTTATGAGATACTAGATGGTCTCAACTTTATAATGAAGGCAGCTGGTTATCCTAGTGATTTTGAAGAGTTGACACAGATCACTAGTCAAATTAATTGCTAAGAGGCTCTGCGCGGTTTCCTTTGCAAGTGGAGTCGATCACTAATGAGTTGCATGGTGTTGTGGATATAATTTCTCCAATCATGATCAAAGCTCAATGAGTCTATCACCATCCATAGAAAAGTCTCTGTTTCGGGTTGGTTTTATTTATAGCATATTAATTCTAGTATTTATTTATTTATTTTTAATAAAGAACAATAATTTAAAGAATGGTGCTATCCATAGTGTATGCCATCCATCCAAACCAAGCCAATGTCTATTCACTCCATATCCTCGCAGTTCCCATTTTCAATCATAGTAAGAAAATCTATCAAGAATCTGGAGGAGGAAAATGGCTAAAGAGAGACCAATAGTAAAGACACAAGTGCTAGAATTGATAAATGGCTCTTTTCTCATTTTTCTCAAAATAAGATATTTCTTATACTGCAAACAACATAACCATTTAAAATTTCTGTTACAAATTCATTTCATCTGCACATGAAGCAGGAACTTTCACAGGCCATACTGAATCTATGGTGAACCTCAATGCATACCCTTTCCACCACTAAGACAATACAATAATATGATTGCAGCCACAGCCTCATCATCGTCCTTTGTTATTGGCTTTCCAGATATCTGAACTTGGTTGGCAACAGTAGCCAGTAATGGATCAGGAACCTTGGTCAGAATATATGTTCACCATTTCAACTAAATTCCAAAGCATGCATGGTGATCACCTTCTGCAGTCAGAACCAAAAAACAATGTTCAAAAGCAAGACCTTTATGTACATGGAAAAACTGCTGGGTGCACAAAGATGATCTGAGCTCAATGATGGTAATTCACAGATGGTGACATCAATTCAATAATAAAGGACTTCAACTATCCAGCATTTTTCCCTTTTTAAGCTCATGCACATAAGAAGTTCTCACTGCCAAATTGAATAAGTTCTCTACTTTTGAGCCTCAGATTCTCTTTCTCGGCGGTAAACAAAAACTGAACCAACCACAACTCTTCCAATCCTTCTGTTTCTTCGATTCCTTTTACTTAGACCTCTCTTTATTCCCTTCTCAACAGGCTGAGACATAGGTACTTGATGAATCAATCCTAAAGGCAATAGTGCTGCAAGAAACTGTATTAAAATTCCTACAGGTAATCTTGAGTAATCTCCAGACTTTATTCCAAGCAAAGCAGCCAACCCAACTCCCCAAAATCCACTAATAATTGATGATAGGCACAATGCTGATGCTAAGAATGATGTTAGAGATCCTTCGCAACCCCTTGGACACAAAGTTGCCAGTAGCACCGAAAAAGGAAGAACCTTAAATTGCGCAAGAGTTTCTGCTAAACCAGAAAAGCAAAGGGCAAATACTTCATTGGGAATTCCCATACCTAGATTGATGTGTCTTACTAAAATGAGGTCAAGAAGAAGTGAAGATGCATACAAAACCTGTACTGCACCAATCAATTTCCTCATGGGAATTTGTTTCCAATAACGATCATAAAGCACAGTCAAGGAAAGAAGCATCAATTGGCCAATTACTCGTGACATTCCAATAACTCTAGGATCAAAATGTAGACATTGAGTTTGATAACAAAAGAGTGAGCCTGACAGAACAGGAACCATGGCAATAGAAGCTACTATCCAAGTTAGTGGTCGAAATATGCTGTCCTCACTGATGGCAATCATAAGATCAGAGAGCTGTTTTCTGATATTTTCCAAAATTGATTGTCTTGTAAGAATGTGATCTGAAGGTTGGGCTAAACCAAGACATTCTTCTCTTGCTGATAAAGATATTGCAAGCTGAAGAGATAATAAAACTGAAAAAATGAGGAACATCGTTCCAGGTGCTGCCTTGAGTAAGAAATATCCACCTAGTAAGTTGCCCAGGATCCCACCAGTAGCTAAAGCCATGTAGGCATAAGATTGGAGTCCAGTAATTCTATGTTTTTGGCCAAACTCTGTCACAAGTGCATCCTTTGTGACTTCTGTAATGGATGCTCCAAGATTACTGAAAAGAACACATGCCATGAGGGTGGGAAGGGCTTGGCTGGCTACCGGAATCAAAGCCAGTTGACCCCAAGACAGGACCTGCAGAAGGACTGAAAATTGGATTGTCAGCAAGGTTCAGTCAGTTTTTCAATCAACCAACTCAAAACTTCTTGAATTTAAGATGGTAGAATGCTCAATTAGTGTCCTAGCTGGTTTCTAGCAATAGTAGACAATCTGCATGACTTAAAAATTCAAAACATGCATGATAAGCTAGTATATGGTTGTTGCAAATTTTGTTCCTATTGTTTCCATAACCAGATTCCAAAATCTAGATTCATTTCCTGTGTATATATCATGACCAAAATTGACAAATTTTTGTGCTTATCATAAAGGATAAGTTAGCTCAGTTTGCTAAATTCAATTCTTTCCAGAATCTGAAACACTACCTTTTTATTTTCTACTGCCCTAGAAGTTGGAAATGAAGTTCGGAATAAGGAAATAGAGGAAGCAAAAAACAGAATCCAAGGCACAGTTAAATGGAAAAATAGGAAAAAAGGTCAAGAAATCAAAACCAGATAAAGGAAGGAATAAAAGAGCTACAGAATACAAACAATTGATCTGAAAACCATCAGCAATCACAAAAGATTTCAAATAAGAGAACACAAGGTCACAAGAATAAACTTTTCGATAGAACCAAAAGAAAGAGAAGAAAAAATGTAGTAAAATTTATCAGGAAGCAGACTTAATGAGAACAAGAGATATTAACTGACCTCCAATGCAAATATAAGGTATTCTATGTGCACCCCCAATATAGAGAGCATCTGAGAGAATTCCATAAAGAGGCTTAGCTACCATGGGGAGATTACCAGAATTCTGAATAAGCTGCAATGTTGAAGGTTGCAAGTTAAGATTGTGAGCCATGTGGAAGTTGAGAGCCAACCATGGAAAACATCTAAAACCTTGAACCCAGTATCCCAACCCACACAAACCCAACATTTCTTGAAAACCTTCGAGGGATAAACCTTTACTCTCCTCACATTCCTTCCTTTTCTTGCGTTTCCTGACAGAAACCTCATCCTGGTTGGTTACTATAAAATGGTTTTTGAGTTGGGTTTGGGATTTTATATCCTTGTTAACTGTATTGCTGTTAGGATTATGATACTGGGAAGGCCTGAATGTTGATCTTAATTGAAAGTTTGGTAACTTTGTGTATCTCTCCTGGATTCTTGAGATTTTTGGATTGGTTAAAATTATTGGGTTTTTAAAGGAAATTACTGGGTAAATCATGGTTTTGGCTGAGGCCTGAACAAAGATGGCAAACAAATGGAACCTTCCTGAACGAGGTTTCTTTATATGCAGAGACAGAAGATATTGATCAGAAATGACAGAGGGAAATATATAACCCACATTCTCATTTTGAACAAAATGTTACTCTAATAAGAGGAAAGAATAAGAAAGTTATTAAAATTCTGAACAGTTTTGAGAGAAGAGAACGATCTAGAAAAGGCCTTGGAAGAGGAATCACAGCCTAAAAAAATAATAAGAGAGAGAAAAAACAGAAACAAAACTCTCGATTGAAGACTTGAGAGAAACGAGAGAGAAATGGAGACGATTCCATTTTTTGTTTACTGGTTTTTCTTGTTGCTCTTTTTGGTTGATTTGGGGGTCCCATCTCATGTCATAAAATGAATGAATCACGCGCCCTGCATTCTAAAATGGGAAATATTTATAAGATATTTTTTAAAAGTGAAATTCGCAAAATTTTTTATTAAAAATAATTAAATTAAAATTTTATGTTATATAAATTAAATATGTAAAATTTTAAAAATTTTAATATATTTTTAGTAAAATTATTTATAAAATTTTTATTATTAAACAATTATCAATTAAAATTTAATTATAATAATATTTTAAATATTTATATATATTATTAATTTTTATTAATTTGTTAATTTAATATTTTATAAAAATTTTATTAAATTATTTTTATAAAAAATTTTCATATATAAAATTTGTCCTCCCAAAATGTGCCCTTTTCAGTAACCCTTGTTTTCTAGGTCAAAATCTAATTGAAGTGCTAACATGATTGGGACAACAGGTGAAACAACCTGTTCGGGATTCCTATGAACCGTTGGTTTCTCTACTTATGTAGAAGGGATGCACACGCGCGCTTGCATCCCACGCTCTATTCAGATTGAGACCTCAAGGGCACTGTCGGCGGTGTGGCAAATCGCATAGTTTCTTCTGGTACTTGTTAATGTTGAAGAAAGCAAAAAAAACAAAAAAATGACATGAAAAAATGCTGGTTTTGTCGCTGAAATCTAATCATGGATAGTGCCAATCGGATAGTTCTGTTCTTCACTTGGTTTTTGAAGACAGATATGAATAAAAGAATTGAGGACTATATGGGCGGCCATGTGCCTCACAAACGATGACAAAGAAGGCCCCATTACTTCATTTGCCTGCCAAAGTAGCAGCTTGGTTTAGATATAACTTGGGGGCCAACGCCGTGTGAGGTGAAGCCATCAATTGGAAGGAAGTTGGAACCTTGTAAATATGAAAAGATTAGCCACTGAGCTTACTTAATCGAAGGTAAGAGGTGAATTTCAATTATTCAAGGAACAGATTAGGGGTATTAACTTAGATTTTTTTGGTTTAGTTTAGTTAATTTTAGAATTGAATTTTTTAAAGGATATTTGATTCATGAAATTTTTAATTAAAAAATATATATTATTTTTGAGAAAGTAAGATATCCAATTTTTATTTTTTATTTTTAAGGTATTCTATATTTAAATTTATTCGTTTGGTTGAGAGAATTCATATATATTAATTTTTGAATTATTATTATAAATTTTTTGTGAAATATATAATAGTAATTTTTTATTATTTTTATTAATAATAAAATTTCAAACAACAAATGATGCGTTTAATAACAAAAAAATAAATATTTTATTTAATTACTATTTTTATTTATAAAATATCATCAATAAAAAAATATTGAGAATTATTTAAAGTATTTTTAATTAAAAAAACGTCATAAATAATCTATTTGATTTTTTAAAAAAAAATTATTTAAAGTATTTTTTTGTCTAAAAACATCTTAAATAGATGACATTAAAAAAATATGAGGGGATTTAAAAAAATTAAAGGGTATTATTTAAAGCGATTTTGATTAAAAATGTCTTAAATAATTACTTTCATTACTTATAAGATCTAAGAGATAAAATGTAAAAAAATAAAATAACTCAATCGGTTATAGCATATAATTATTAATTATAAGATTGTAGCTTTGATTTTTTCTTTTTAGGCCTTTAATGTTTTTAAAAAGTATTATTTAAAGTATTTTTTGGTCAAATACAAAAATTAGAGTAGCTCAATTAATTAGAATATATGATTATTAATCATAAGATTATAGGTTTGATCATTTCTTTTAATACTTTAATGCTTTTTTAAAGAGATTATTTAAGGCGTAAATAATGCCCTTCAATTTTTTGGACCAACATTTTTGAATAAAAACACCTTAAATAATATTTTTTATTATTTATAAAATTTAAGAGATAAAATATAAAAAAATTAGAGTAGATCAATTGGTTTGAGTATATGATTATTAATAATAAAATTATAAGTTCAACCTCTATTTTTAGTGTTTATTTTTTGGGACTATCTAAATAATCTTAAAAAAAATTGACCAAGATTATTTAAAACATTTTTTATGCCAAACTTCATTAATTACAATATAAAAAAAAAATTTTAGCAACACTATAATTAATTTACAGTCACTTTTAGATATACTTTTTTAAAATAGTAATGATTATTTTATAATTTTTTATTCAGATCAAATTTAAAACTAATATAATTTTTTCTTTTAAAATCTTAAAATACCACATAGAGGTAAATTTTTTATTTCGAGATTTTGAATATTATTGAAAATTTATTACTTTCTCTCAAAATTAAATTACCTTAAATCAAATATTGTGAATTTTTTATTTTGAAACTTTAGGTATCGTTAAAAATCTATCATTTTTTTTAAATCAAATTATTTTAAATGAATCGTTAAAATCAAATATTCAATAACAAAATTTAAAAAAAAAAAAAAATGCATGAATTTTTCCTGACCTTATGCCCCCTTAAAGAAAAACAATCACAGTATTGAGAGGCGGCTCCCTTTAGCAACATATCGAGAGGGATTTTTGTCGTACCACTAAAGATTAATCATCAAATACAACACTGATAAGTGAGAATTCCTCCCTCCATGCTGCCAAAGGACCATTGAGAAATGCAAGCGACTGGTAACATCCAAGTATGCAGTTATCTATGCCAGAAGCATGTCCATCAGTCCATCAAAGTAAATACAAATTAAGCACCATTTGCTATTTGGAACATCTATTTCATAAGTCATTCATATATTAGAAGTCACATAGAGTTAGTTATATATTAAGCAGCCCTCGTGTTCAGAATTTGATCAATTCCAAAGAAGAAAAAACACTAGTAAGAGTTGTCTTAAAGAATAAATCTTTCGCTTTTGGCTCTTATTAGGGAAACAGAAAACAAATGAACATTTTGGTTGAACTGAAAAAGAATATCCAGTAATCAGTAAGTGATGAGAAACATATATATGTCAAATCTCATTGTCACATTCATCTGGCCAAAACTCATTCCTGGAAGAAGAGAAAAAGCATAAACTAGAAACCTTCTGTTCATTAAATTCCCTCGACAATGTGTTCATCCCAATTCCCATTAATTTCCACTGCATCATGAAATCAAGAAAATCATCATTGTATCTACAACAAATACACCTACAAAACCAGGACAATAACTGCTTTCTACATTTCAGTTGTTCCTCAACTGTTAAAATCTTTCTTTCGGAACAACGAGAAAAAAATATCACAGAAATTATCTACCGTAGGATCTTGACTGGACAAAGCTCAACTATCTGAAGCTCCATTCAGTGCCAAACCATTTGTCAACCATGGATTTAGAAATCAGGGTGTTAGGTCAAAATTGGATTCCAGAAGGGAGTACACTTCATTTAGGGAAGACACCTTGAAATCTGGAGTTAGATCCAACTTGGCAAAATCATGAGGGCCATACCTCCCCTTTTCATCAAGCAAGCATGTCAGTGCTCCTGCTTGTTTCCCACAAGCTACCTGCAAATACATATGATAATAGCTAATCAGAGTTCATGTGACACAGTCATAGATTAAAATGGTAAATATAACAAGTTGGGCATCCAACCACCATGTAAACTTGAATGTTCCAAGATGTACTTGTTTTACTTTTCTCCCTCCTAAGGTTTATAATTTGTAACAAATAAATATCATATCAAAGGCATATTCGCTAAAGGCGCCTAATCATCATATTGCTTCCGACACAACCACAACAAAAATTCAAACAAATGCAAAAGCTAAATAGTAGCCATGAAGATGATGAATGAGCTACATCATCATTTTTTGTTCTCTGTTTATTATTGTTGCTTTGGAAAAAACACTCACATCATCTTTAAGACTATCACCAACCATCATGACTTCATTTGGTTGAACTTCCCAAGTCAAACAGATATGCAGCAGAGGAGCAGGGTCTGGTTTATAAGGACGAAACTCCCGGCTAAGTGCTGGAGAAAACATCATCTGAAAAAACACATGTTAGAAAGATTTCAATCTCCCAATTGAACAAAATGTCTAGAATAGTTCAGTTTACGCTTCAAATATCTTACTCCAAATCGTTGATGAAACAGATCAACTGATTCTTTGACATTCCGAGTGATTAGTCCCCTTCTGAAGCAACATGGAAGCAATTAGTGTTAGCATCTAAAAACTCATGAAAAAAAGTGACAAAAAAAAAACTCATGAAAAAAAGTTTAGTTAACAAAACACGGCCAGAAATATTTAGAGTTTCATGTAGTAGATTTGAAAGAAAAAGCAACTGACAGATCCAAATTTTAAGTACTGCTAGGAGTAAGCAATTAGCATGCCAACGTCATTTAGCTGGTACATTAAATGGTTAGAGACAGTAAAATTAAACTTAACAAAACAATCTGCTACTAGTAATAAGTATTAAGTAATATAGCTATAGTAACTAGACATAAAATCAGCCAAAAGTCAAGCTACCGCATGGAAAATATCTGGAAACTCAGTGATCTGTTGTGAGGCAATAACCTATTATGCCTGCAGCCATCTACACTGTGTCTTAGATAGTTAACTGAAAAACTATTAACTGAATAAGTATTAGAAGAAAAAGCTAAGGCATGATGGAACTTGACCTTATTTTCTTTGCATCAAGAAAACCACAAAGTTGTGCTGCTCCTGCACCATTATCAACCAAATGTTAAAACTTAAATTGATTAGCATTGGAAATGGCAAAGAAATGAAGTCCTATGTAGCTGAAAGAGAGAGGCGTCGCTAAATTTAAATTAAACTTCCTCCATATCAACTCAAAAGGGAGAGTCAAAAAAAAAAAAAAAAACCAAAGGAAAACACCAAGCCGAAGATTGGCATTGAAGTTCCAGAAATATACTCCCAAAAGTATGCTACCTTGAAACTATTTTTCTTTGGTACAAGAGAAGCAGCAGCCTAAAGGATCAAGGAAGGAGAATTGCAAGTGTTGGAATCGAACCCAGTCTTGCAAGAGTCAACCTCCTAAGGGAGCAGCGTGAACCAGTTGGCTATGCCCCAGGTTCTGCTAGCTTAAAAGTTGAAACTATTGTGAAACCATGAAATACAACCAAATTTGCCCAAATGAAAAGCATAAGAAGTAGCTAGATAACGATAATCTTAGCCCAAAAAGAGCTACAGTTTCCGAATAAAAATGGACAAATAGCGATGCTTTATAATAGAAACCAATCACTTCAATGAAACCATAAAACACAGAAACCACTCAGCTGATTCCCTCTTCAAATGAGGATCTTTACATTTTAATCCTGTTTAATCCTATCATTTCAAACTAAAACTTGAATGCCTTAGGTTCAAAACATGAAACAAAAATCATATAATAATTAGAAAAAAGTAGCATGCTTTGAAAATCCAAATCAACCCTTTTCTTTTGAACAATTCCCTTTCGCATTCCCAGCAATCAGAAACTAAGTACTAACCAGGCATAATTTGGAGGCGAGCAAGGCCCTGCTTTTCGAAATCAGCAATAATCTGATAAGCTTTTTTCTGCTTATCGGGACACCAATTCTCAATGTGGTGCAAAATATCAATCCCAGACGGGTTTTCAGCTTTGATCCTCATGTACTCGTCGTTTCCGAGGACAGACTTGTACATAGCGGCGAAGTCGATGACGGGGACGGTGAGAGTACCGTCCATGTCGAAAACGACGCCGCGGAGGCGGGTCTTGGTGGGGAGAGTAGACATGGAAAAGTGGTGAAAGAGAGAGGATTTACGATTCAAATGAAGGAAGGATTTGGATAGAAGAAATGAGGGCATTAGGATTTGGAGATAAGATATTTTTATGGATATTTATAGGATTACCGGTTTTGGGTTGTTCTTAGATTTTGGTGGGGGAGCGAGGTTAGAGTGCTAGACTATAAAAGGTAAAAATACAGTGAAACGGCACAGCATATGTCATAAAACGATCTATAGAAAAACCAAAACCTTAAACAACGCAGAGTCTCTTTTTTTTTGCCGTTTCTTCAGTAGACAAAGGAAGAGCTTCACAGCCATGGCCGCCCTGTCAGCGCCTCAACAAGAAGGAGAAAAAGAATTGGTTTCGCTTTCAAAGAAGAAAAAGCAAAAGAGAAAGAGAACAAAACATGACCCGGAAGCTGAACGACTCGAGTCACTCCCTTGGAACTCTTCTCTTCCCGACAAAGAAGAAGATGACTCTTTTTCTCTCTTCATTGGCTCTGGGGACCTCGATGGAGGTTAGCCTTATAAAAGAACAAGATCCCATCTTTATTTTTTGTTAAAATTAATCTTTTATGTGCTAAATTTTAGAACTTGGTTATTATATTAGTTAGATTCCTTTTTATTTGAATTGTTTCAAGTTAGATGGTATGCTGCTGGGTTTTCAAGGAGAAATCTTTTTTTTTTTTTTCGTTTTTTCGTTTTCTATTGACTTGACATTGGCCTTAGAGCTGAAGGGATGTTTTGTTTATTTGGTTTTAGCTGCTGGAGTTTATATCGCCTGTTTAGTTCTAACTTGTTGCTTTTTGATGAATTCGACTTTAGAAATCTAAACTAAGTTACTCAAGAGTGTCATTTAGGATTACTTTTTGTTATTCATTCATTAATTTGTTTACTTGTGTCACAATTTTGAAGAACCTAAGTACCAAGTAGAGTGTTGGGTGTTTAGGAATTTTGGGTATATAGGTATGAATTTGATAATCTTGAGGCTTCCAGTTCTGAGCATCGGTCTAATCTCTTTTGGTTGTGTAGAAAAGCCATTGCAAAGTGTTGGTCACATCTGTGGCTGTTATGTTGGTTACTGTGAAACAATGATGAAATAAGGTTAGTAAAGAGAGAATGTAATAGTTTTCTTATATTTCAAGATAATGATTTGTACAAAGTTAACTAAGTATTTGGAAGGGTTTGTGTTGCCTAAAATGTTTTCTTGGAGCTAAATTGTGCTAAGGTTTACAGTTGGACTTTGGAGGGTTCGAGCTTGTTCCTAGATCATAATTCTTGTTGATTATATTGAGCGCAGGCTTTCTTTCCCTTGAAGAGATTGATGAAGCTGATTATGGTTTAGACGTACCTGGACCTAAGAAGGAAATATCTAATAAAAAGTCAAAATCTAAAAAACAAAAACTTAACGAAGCCACTGAGGGCTCTGGTGGAGATGTTGAAGCTGAACCTGCAGAGAGAATGGCAGACGAGAAGAATGTGAAGGACCAAAAAAAGAAAAAGAAGAGTAAGAAGAAAAAGGCAAAGACAGCTCAACAAGAAGGGGAGTCTGCAACTGGTTAGTGCTTTATGTATTTTGATTTTGATATGCTGATTATACTAGTCAGTGTATTATTTGGTAAAGACTGTTTTAATTAACAGGCAGTTTCTACTTTTAAGCCCGTTTTGCTTGTGTGTAACAACATAAGCTTAATTCAACTCAATTTGATCCCTTCACAAGCTTTTTTGACAGTAATAAGTTGATGTGCCACTGGTGTGGTTTAGACTAGTTTCTCACTTCCATGTGTAATATGTCAAAAATGATTGGGCCTTTTGTTGATTTCTATATTAATGTTCAATATAATGGAATATCCTGTGATCAAAACATAATCTTATTACTGGATTTGCAGTTAGTGACAGCAAAGACAATGAGGAAGAAGAGATGCTTAATGAAGCTGAAGCTTACTCTGAATTTTATGCATGGAATGCGTTGAGACTTCACCCTCTGCTTATGAAATCAATATCTCGGCTTGGGTTCAAGGAACCTACTCCAATACAGAGAGCTTGTATTCCTGCTGCAGCTCATCAAGGAAAGGTTTGTCTCCTTTGATTTGGTAAATTTTAAATACTTTTAGTTTAACCCTCATTTATTATTATTATTTTAATTCCTTCTATTTTCGTTTTCAATAAATCAAAAAGAAACATTGACACTATTTATTTTATTAATAATTTTCATTCTTTGTTCGTAATGGAAAAATAATTAAAGGAAATTCAATCACTACAATATCAATACAAATTGTGCGTTTAAATCCTCTAACTTTTTTCAAAGTTACGTAATCTTATGCTTTTTTATGAAATAATCCTATTTTTGTTTAAATTATTTTAGTTAGACTAGATTTTTTTTTTTTTTTTGACATTGAACCTTTTATTCTTATTAAAATTCTTTTATATATGCGATATGAATTATAATATTTGAAAACATTTTTCTTTAAAATAAATTTATACATTGTTTGCAATTTTAATATATATATATATATATATATACATATATATATATATAGAGAGAGAGAGAGGCCCCCACAAACACAATTCCTGGCTTTGTTCCTGGAAGATTTTCATGGTCAATGATGATATCTCTTTCACAGTGATGGTAATTTGTTTATGGGATAGGATGTTATTGGTGCTGCTGAGACGGGATCTGGGAAAACACTAGCCTTTGGCCTACCCATTTTCCAACGTCTGTTAGAAGAACAGGAAAAAGATGCAAACTTGCTTGAGCAGAAGGGGGGGGAAGCAGGAAAGTATGCTCCAAAAGGTGTTTTACGAGCTCTTATCATCACTCCTACTAGAGAACTTGCACTCCAGGTATTCATAATTGTCTTATTGTTGCTTTTGTCAGTTATCTGAGTTGCCCACTCAGCACAACACACTAAGCCTTTTCACACCACATAGGGCCATCTTAGTTGCTTGCGTGTTTGGATAAGAATAAATAATATTTTATCTAGTCTTTAAAACCCCAAGCTAAAGCTTTCTAGATCTGGACCGTGGACCTTAAAGGCCTTACTTTTTTTTCCCATATTTCCTTATTGCTTTTATTGTGCAGAAGCCTTAGGAGCATTGTTAAACTTTTTGGGTCTTTAACTCCATATATTGTTTTAATGAGTTATCATAGTTGAGAAATATCCTGCATGTTGTTGGTTGAAAACTTTAAAAAACTTCTATATATGTTGTTTGAACTTTTAAGTACATGAAGCATAATTGTAAATTTAATAAGAAGAATTGTGTTTGAAGTTGCTTCGGCTTCTTTATCAACAATTGTAATCATCAAAATGCTACACTTAACCTTGATTTTGATGAAAAAAGTGTCCTTGGAGAATGTTAAGATGTTATTGTGTTCCTATTTTACTCAATCAAGTTGAAGTTTAAGGATTATTGGACATTTTATTTCCATTTTCTAGGTTACCAATCATCTTAAGGAATTTTCCAAGGATATCAATGTTAGAGTGGTTCCTATTGTTGGTGGCATGTCAGCAGAGAAGCAGGAACGTCTATTAAAAACAAGGCCTGAGATAATTGTTGGAACTCCAGGGAGATTATGGGAGCTTATCTCAGAGGGAGAAAAACATCTTGTTGAGGTTAGGAGTGAAATATTATCACTCAAAGCAACTGAATTTGTTTTTAAGTGTTTTGTTTTTGGGATGTGAGTTGGTAAAAAATAAGCACCATTTCACTCATAATTTTATCTTGGCAGTTACATTCATTGTCTTTCTTTGTGCTGGATGAGGCTGATCGAATGGTTGAAGTAGGACATTTTCGTGAGTTACAGTCAATAATTGAAATGCTCCCTATGACTGGTGGTGTTACTGGAGGACAATCTCAGAACACACAGAATTGTGTTACAGTTTCAAGCTTATCAAGAAAAAAAAGACAAACATTTGTCTTTTCTGCAACTCTAGCACTTTCTGCTGATTTTCGCAAGAAGCTAAAGTGTGGTTCATTAAAATCCAAGCAATCTGCTGAGGGGCTGAATTCTATTGAAATTCTATCTGAGCGAGCAGGAATGAGACCCAATGCTGCCATTGTTGATTTGACAAATGCATCGATTTTAGCAAAGAACCTTGAGGAATCTTTTATTGAGTAATTTCTTTACTTTTCTTTTGCTAGCTTGCACCTTGAACTCTTTTCCTCATTGCCAAAAAAAAAAAAAAAAACTCTCGTACTCACAACATAAGTTTGCTTACCAATTTAATCATTTTGCAGCATGATATTTAAAGCTTAAATTTTATCATTAGAATTTTCTAGCATGAATTGTTTGCTATGTATTTAAAAAAGCTGACTGAATTTGAGAGTACATTACCCCTCAAACCTTAATTCCTTCCTTGGCTTTTCCAGTTTTTGTTTTTACTAAAATGTATGTTGCGAAGACCTTGAAATGTTTAATCATTCATTTTTGGGACAGTATCTTCTGCTTGCATTTTCTTTTCTCTACCTCCTTTATTTTTTTTCTTTTAATGAATTATCACTTATCATAACATATGCTCTTATCATATATGACGAAATGATATATGAAATTTTTTTTTTTTTCACAAGATAAAGAATTTGTGGGTATTACCTTTGTTAATTTCCAAATTATTCAAACATTCCTTATACTTTCATATAATTAAAGATGAAAGATGAAACTTTCTAACTTAGAGTAATATGTCTGCATTTATGGGATGATAATATCATCTTTGTCTAGCAGAATAATACTCTTATCATGAATTCTGCAGATGCAGGGAAGAAGATAAAGATTCCTATCTGTATTATATTTTGAGTATTCATGGAGAAGGGAGAACGATAGTTTTCTGTACATCAATTGCAGCTTTGCGTCATATATCTTCCATCTTGCGCATCCTTGGCATCAATGTTTCAACACTACATGCTCAGATGCAGCAGCGAGCTCGCTTGAAGGTTTGTTTTCCCTTGACTGTGTTTATAATAATTATGCACTTCTTTGTACATAGCCTGGTCTAAAGATTGGTTGTTCTGTTGCATGCTCAACTCTTTGCGATGAGGGATCTGTCTCCCCTTCTATAACTTTCTTGCAGCGTTATTGACAATGGTTGATATAATAACCAAA